GGGGGAAACCTCCAAAAAAATTACAAATTTAAAAATCGCTAATTTTCGAAATTTTTTCAATTTTTTTTACTTTAAAGTGCCATAACTTTTTCAAAAATGAACATATCAATATAATTCTTTTTTATATAGATGCATGATATTATTACTTTTCATGTGGTATATTTTTTTCATAAATTTAACCCTTAACCTCCCCACAAGGGGGGATTTAAAATGACAACTTTATTACAAAAAATTAATTTTTTCAACTTAACTTTTGAAAGTGTTCCGGAAGGTCTGACACTTTTATATATATCTTAAATTAAAGCTAATGTAATATACTTTATCATGAAGAAAAAAAATTTCGGACTTTGTTTTATCTTCACGGTGAAAATGGCTACTGAATGCTATTTTTGTGTGAAAATTTTCGATTTTGTATTTTACATTTTTAACTTTATTATGCTATAACTTTTTGAAAAATGTATGGATCAGTACAATTTTTTTATGAGAAGTAGTATTTATATAGATCTTTCATTCGACATACTGTTTTTTTAAATCGGACCATTTCCCTAAATACAGGGGGGATTCAAAACATAAAAATGCATATAGAAAGTAGAACTTTTTCAACGTAACTTTTGAAAGTGTTCCGGAAGGTCTGACACTTTTATATATATCTTAAATTAAAGCTAATGTAATATACTTTATAATGGTAAAAAAAAATTTTGGACTTTATTTTATCTTCATGGTGAAAATGGCTACCGAATGCTATTTTTGTATAAAAATTTTCGATTTTGTATTTTACATTTTTAACTTTATTATGCTATAACTTTTTGAAAAATGTATGAATCATTACAATTTTTTTATGAGAAGTAGTATTTATATAGATCTTTCATTCGACATACTGTTTTTTTAAATCGGACCATTTCCCTAAATACAGGGGGGATTCAAAACATAAAAATGCATATAGAAAGTAGAACTTTTTCAACGTAACTTTTGAAAGTGTTCCGGAAGGTCTGACACTTTTATATATATCTTAAATTAAAGCTAATGTAATATACTTTATAATGGTAAAAAAAAATTTCGGACTTTATTTTATCTTCATGGTAAAAACAGACATTAAACTTAATAAAAAATATACGATTTTTGTAAAAAAATTCTTTTTTATATTTTTAACTTTATAATGCTATAACTTCTCGAAAGATGTATGGATCAATATAATTCTTTTTTTTGTAGATGCATGATGTCTTTACCTATCATTTGGTATATTTTTTTTATAAATCTGACTTTTTACCTGCCTACAGGGGGGGATTCAAAATGACAACTTTTTCACAAAAAATTGACTTTTTCAACTTAAATTTTGAAAGTGTTCCGGAAAGTCTGACACTTTTATATATATCTTAAATTAAAGCTAATGTAATATACTTTATAATGGTAAAAAAAAATGTTGGACTTTATTTTATCTTCACGGTGAAAATGGCTACCGAATGCTATTATTGTGTGAAAATTCTCGATTTAAAATTCTTTTTTATATTTTTAACTTTATAATGCTATAACTTCTCGAAAGATGTATGGATCAATATAATTCTTTTTTTTGTAGATGCATGATGTCTTTACCTATCATTTGGTATATTTTTTTTATAAATCTGACTTTTTACCTGCCTACAGGGGGGGATTCAAAATGACAACTTTTTCACAAAAAATTGACTTTTTCAACTTAAATTTTGAAAGTGTTCCGGAAAGTCTGACACTTTTATATATATCTTAAATTAAAGCTAATGTAATATACTTTATCATGGAAAAAAAAAATTTCGGACTTTATTTTATCTTCAAGGTGAAAATGGCTACCAAATGCTATTATTGTGTGAAAATTCTCAATTTTATTTTTTACATTTTTAACATTATAATGCTATAACTTATTGAAAAGTGTATTGATCAATATAATTTTTTTATGGGAAATACTATTTTCTAATAATCTCTTTTTTATTCGACATACTTTGTCTTAATCAGGATATTAATAAGGAACTAGCAGTTTATGAAGCTTTTGGAATAATCCACCAATTTTTTAAAATTAAACACTATCTAAAGCGTTTTTTTTTTATAGTGATTTTAATCACTGTCAGATATCATTATACTTAATCCAACTATGCCACGTCACCACTGTGTCGCGACCCCCCTGTGCTGTTTTTTTTTATTTATAAATGCTTGTTTATAAGTTTATGATGGTGTTTTTAAGCCTTTATTTTGATGATTTTAGGTGTTATAAGTGTCGAAGTCTACTAATTATCAATCATAGTAAAGATTTATGACAAAAAAAACTTGATTTATCAATCTTTTATTTACGTAGTAAAAACTGTAGATATTTATTTTTATACAAATTGATAGAGGAGAATAAAAGTATAGACCTCTTCAAATTTCCATTTTAAATAAAAAAATTTACGTTTTAAAATTAATTTGATCAAAATAATTTGAAATAATTTTTTTATTAACATTACTTAACACATTATATACATATTAACATGTAGTTGCAAACCTGAAACCTTTTGAATCTCATATTTCGCTCCGTTTCATTAGTGTAACTTTTATTATACTTATTCATAAAATTTTCAAATTTTTTTTGGTATTGTTGTTCTACAAATGTGTGATACAAATTATATGTAACAAACACGAAAAAAATAATTAACAAAAGTACTTTCAATACAAAACTTTTAGTATACATTTTTAGAATTAAATAAAACTCATGTATCTTCCACAACTTAGAAGTCTACACTGAATGTTACTATATTTATTCTGATGCTCATTCGTAGTTGTAACATGCGCGCAGTTAATATTGTCACTGTTTTTCTTATATATAACAATTTTAAAATACAATAGTTAATATATATTTTTAAAGTTTCCAAAATTACATTTTTCTGTTATTAAATTATTTTAAATATCTCTTAGGCCTGATATATCAAAGATTAAACGCGAAGTATTCAAAATACTTTCTGATAAACACAAAATAGTGGATTTTTTAGAAGACAATTAAAAAATTTTAATGAGTAGTTAAGAGTGCCATTTCAAATATGGGTAACTTAGTCCAATTTCTAGAATGGTAAATTTTGAACTGGAGACAGATAATTTTGTAAGAAATATACTTATAACAATAAATAATAATTTGAATAACGTGGTTCAACAAAAATACTTTGTCTGTTTAAAATTTCACCAACCCTAAAAACAAAATCATATGAGGTTATGCACTGGACCTTAACCTTCTTGGTAGAACTCCTGGACATAAAAAAAAACATAAAACATTATATACTGCAGTAAACATGGATATTATGTAATTACTCCTAAGCATGATTACGTAAGTCGTAGCTTGAAGAACTTGTCTGTGGGGTCTATTTCAGTTTATTGGATTATGATCCTGATGGGAAGCTTCTTTATCACATTGTTTTATTTCCCCCTCTACCCAATTTATTTATTTATGAAGGTATGAATATTTCTAGAAGTCTAAAGCCGGTCATAATAACGTAATTGTTGAAATGTAATTTAAATTCATTATTTACGTATTCAATTCGTTATGTCGTGGTACCACAGATAAGATAATACTTTATCTTATCTGTGGTGGTACGCTGAATAGTTATCAAAATAAGAAAAACATCTGTTTCAAATTCATAAATCATAGATAATGTCTATAAAATGTAAACTTAGTTACCTGATTATAAGTTAAAAATTATTTGCATATTACAAATTTTGGACAACGGTCTAATATTGTAATAGTTTTTGCAATTAATTTGTGGAATAAAATGAAATCCTATTAATTGTCTTATTTTGTAAAGAATTATTATTTTACCAATGTATATAAGAGTCTCATTTAAAGTATGTATTCATTTTTAACAAATGTTCTCTTGTTTAAATTTTATAAAAGACACTAATTTTTTCTAAATGAAAAATTTTAGTTGCTAATATGGGCTCGATTGCATCAGTCCTTCAATGGCATTGCAATTCTTGTTCACTTATAAATCCTACAGATCGTGCTTCATGTATTAGATGTAAAGTTCATAGAAGTACTACCTATAGTGAAAAAACGATTGATTTTAAAACAAAAACAATTCATGGATGTCGTACACCTTATGTTACGGATATTCTTTGTTCAGAGACTGAAAATGCTGTTAGAACATTAAAACTAGATGATGCGTAAGATTTATTTTTAATTATAAGTTTAATAATAAAGTATTTAAATGTATTAAATATATTTTAGTGATACTATTAGTATTGATAGAAAAAAATATTTAGTTAATTTACAATTCAAGACTGTTGAACTAGAACGTAGAAAATCTTGGAATGGTTTTGAAGCAAGTCCTAAAGAGTCACAAAATTTTTCTAAAAGTTCTATACTTTTAAATTTAGGCAATAAATCATGGCTTTGTCAAAATTGCCGAACTCGAAATACCATTGTAAAGCAATGTCAAAATTGTGATTCTTTTAGGAATATGGAACATCATCCTCATGATGCTGCTGTAAATATACCTTTTGGTAGGTATATAAATAGCATACTTGAATTGAATACTTTATTAAACTATTTTCTAGGAATACTTTTTTAAATTCTTAATTAAAATCTAAAAATTATTTTATATTTTACTTATTAAATAAAATATATTACTCAGCCTAAAAAAACCAAAGTTGATGCCCAAAATTTTAAATATTCACATTTTGCATTATAAAATTCCTTTTTTAGCTTCAATGCAAAGCTGAGAATGTATTAATTTTACTAGGATATGTTTTTTTATTTTTATTTTTTTGTGTCTGTTGCCACTTTTTTTAAGCTCTCACTGAACCCATTTCTTTCAAAGATACGTCAAAAGATCACAAATCGTATTTAGTCGAAGACATTACCCTCAAAAATTGAAAAAAATTTCCCTCATTCCTTGTAAATGGGGGAAAACTCCAAAAATATTATAAATTTAAAAATCACTAATTTTTTACATTTTTTTTAGTTAAAACTGCCATAGCTTTTTTAAAATTTATCAAATTGATATAATTTTTTTTAAATCTGACTCTTTACTGCCTACAGGGGATGATTCAAAATGACACCTTTTTTACAAAAAATTAACTTATGAAAGTGTTGTGGAAATACTGACACTTTTACATATACCTTAAATTAAAGCAAATGTAATATAATTTATTATGAGAAAAAAAAAATGTCGGACTTTATGTTGTCTTCACTGTGAAAATGGCTACCGTATGCTATTTCTATGTTAAAATTCTCGATTTTATATATTACATATATATTTGATTTTATACAAGGGGGATTTAAAACTTAAAAATGCATATAGAAAGTAGACATTTTTCAACTTATTTTTTAAAAGTGTTCCTAAAATACTTACACTTTATATATACTTAAACAAAAAAAAAATTGTAAACAATTGTTTTTCATATTTTTAACTTTATTTATCAATACAATTTTTTTATGATAAATACTATTTATGTACCTCTTTCATTCAACATACTTTTTTTTTTAAATTGAACCATTTCCCTTTATATATTATAAATATATATATATATATATATTTATTCATATATTACACTTATAAATAATAAAACTTGTAATCAGGATATAAATAAGGAAATAGATCATGTAGCTTTTGGAATAATCTGACAATTTATTTAAATTAAACACTATTTACATATTTGCATCAAAGCGTTTTTTATGATAGTGATTTTAATTACAATATAAATTACAATATCACTAAATACTTATACTTGAAAAGTTAATTTTTACATATAAATTTTGCTATTAAGATTTTTTTCATACATAAATATAAATACATTGTTTAAAATCCTTGAATTTGAAGACTATAAATCATATAATTTATAATCTATAATTTAGATTTATTACTAATTTTTTTTATGTCAGAAAATGATTTTTAAAAATATTTACGGGGTATTCACAAAAGTACTCTACCCAATTATATAAAATAGATTGTTTTTAAATGTCATTTTTTATCTTACTACAGAATCTTCTTAAATTAACTTTTAAGTTAATTAAAATGAGCTGTATGAAACTTGAGATGGATATAATAAAGTTAACATGTTCCTCCGTTCTTTATTGTCAAATAAAATATCCATTTACAAATATTTAAAATTCATATTTAACTGTTAACATTTTTAATGTTTACTAATACATTTCATATAAATATAACAAAAATTCAGAGTTCATGAAAAAATATAATATTTTATACCTTAATAATAAATTAATAAATTATCAATAAACTAAATAACTTAAGAATTGTGTAATTCTTAAGAAAAATGTAATCAAACAGATAATTCCTATCAAATTATTTTAGGATTTAAAATTAATATAGCAATTTTTTTGTTGCACAGAAGTTTTTGTATTTTTTTCATTATAAAATTTAGTGAGAACTTAGTTTGAACTTTACAAAATATAAAACTACTTCATTATTGAATTACCTACTTAATTTTCTATTTTTGTTACAGATTTTGACCAAGAACCCAAAGTTACGAGCACTTGGAATTGTGAAAAATGTTCATTTACCTTAAATCCATTTTGGTCAGATTCATGTGAATCATGTGGATGGAATGCTATTACAATGATGCGAGATTGTGTGAGATATACACCACCTAAAAAAAAATGGCCTTGCAAACGTTGCACACTACTTAATGACGCACATACTTTTGTTTGTAATGCTTGTGGTGGGTCAAAAGCTAAAAGCTTAAGTCCAAATTACAGTACGTTAAGAGAATTTTGGGTTTGTGATAAATGCACTTTAAAAAATAGATTAACTGCTATGGTATGTAAAGCCTGTAAAACTAGCAAAAGAGCTACTAAGAAAAGACGTTCAGATACTCAATGTCCATCTTGTACTTTTGATAATGAACCAAACTCTAAACGTTGTACAATATGTCAAAAAAACCTAGAACCAGAATATTATTCATCCATATTACTATCAAATCATTCTAAAAAACAAAGTGAACTTATGGAAGATTTAAGAAAAATTGAAGAACAAAATGCACGTGAAAAATGGAATGATATAGTTATTTTTTGTTTACAAGTATATATCATTTTTTATTTAAAATAATAATTTTAAATTAATCAATTAGTTAAATATTTAATGATTTATAAGTGTTTCTTTTAATTCTCTGAAAATAAAAAGAATTGTTTTGTTACTTACTTTTTAATATATTACTTAAAATAAACATATACCTTTTATTTTAGAATAATGAGGAATTTATTGATGATGTCTTTCCTCCTACATCAAAATCTTTATACTATAGTGAAAGAAATGAAAATTGTCGAGTAACTCAATGGTTACGACCAAAATCAATTGTTAGTTCAGAAGGAGATAATGAATTATCTTGGACTGTTTTTAAAAAACCAGAACCTTCAGACATTATTCAAGGCTAGTATTGAATAATTTATTTTTACCTATTTTTGTAGTATGTAAAAATAATTTGTTATTGATCTTTTAGGTGTTTTGGGAAACTGCTGGTTACTTAGTGCTTTAACAGTTTTGGCAGAAAGAGATGATTTAGTTAAACATGTCATGGTTACCAAAGATTATTGTGAACAAGGAGCATATCAAGTTCGACTTTGTAAAGATGGTAAATGGACTACTGTTCTTGTTGATGATTTATTACCTTGTGATCATAGAGGACACCTTGTTTATAGTCAGGTTTGTTTATAATTTCATTACGCACTGTGCCAGCGTTAGGCCTCTCTGCGCTTTATGCAAGTATTATTATAATGCTGGGTGTTATTATCTATTAAAAAAATAGTTTGAACTTTTTTTTAATGATGAGCAAAAACAAGTTTTCAACTTATGAAATGTATCATCCCATCATTTTCCCTACTTGTTACCTTTTTGATTTTGACAACCTTTATCTTTACATGCTTTAATTGTATCTAAACCAGCACTGATTACATTGTTTTTTATTTTTTAAATTGTTTAATATGTATATGTATATTATATAGGCAAAGCGTAAACAGTTATGGGTTCCTTTAATTGAAAAAGCAATTGCTAAATTATATGGTTGTTATGAAGCACTTGTTTCTGGTAGAGCAATAGAAGGTCTTGCTACATTAACCGGATCACCATGTGAAAGTATTCCTTTACAATCATCTTCAGTTCCAACAGAGGATGAATTAGATCGTGATCTTATATGGGCACAGTTGTTAAGTTCCCGTCTTGCTGGATTTTTAATGGGTGCCTCTTGTGGTGGCGGTAACATGAAAGTCGATGAAGATGCATATCAGAATGTAGGTTTAAGACCTCGACATGCCTACTCTGTGTTAGATGTGAAAGATATTGATGGGAAAAGACTATTAAAATTAAGAAATCCTTGGGGACACTTTTCGTGGAATGGTGATTGGTCAGATGACTCAGATATATGGACTATTGACTTAAAAACAATGTTAATGCCTGATGGGTGTTGTGAAGGTGTATTTTGGATATCTTTCACTGACGTTTTAAAGTAATATTTCTTTATATTATGTATATTCATTGTTGACTAACAAAAAAAAATTTTAATTTAGGTACTTTGATTGTATTGATATTTGTAAAGTGAGAAATAATTTATGGAATGAGGTCAGATTAAAAGGATATTTGCCGCCCTTATCATCTACCGAACACTTATCTTGTGTTATAATTACAGTTTCTGAACCAACCGAAGCAGAATTTACTCTTTTTCAAGAAGGACAAAGGTAAATTGCTAATTTTATTATATTTATATAGGGTAATCATTTTAATGTTAGCCACTCAATATCTTCTAAAATAATAGAAATATGGATTATTTTTTTTCAGGTTTCTTAGTTTCATATATTTTTTTATTTATTTATCACAAAATTACTTTTTAAGTCAATCTAATATAAGGGTATCAATTTCAATTTATCAAATGGTATTATTAGTATTTAAATACCTAATAGATTAGATAATGATATAAAAAAATTCAGGACAATAACAACTTTTGAACTACTATTTCGAAAGTTGTTAATATGTGTATACCTAAATGGAAATAGGAATATAGGGAAAAATGTTAAATGATAAAAATAGTAAACACATGTCCCTTCCCCTATCTATATACAGAAATGTTAACTCCTGAAATAGTGTTTAAAAGTTGTTATTGACTAATAATTTTGTTAAAAAGATCATTTACGAATTTATTAGTTAGTTAAATAGTTATATGGCCATTTGAAAAATTAAAGTTGACAGCCTTATAAAGGACAGGCTTAAAAATACATTGTAATTAAAAAATCAAGAGATATATGAAACAAAATAATCCATAAAGAAAATTCTCCATTTTGTTATTATTTTAGAAGAAATTAATTAATGTTAAAAGAATCACCTTATTACATGTAAACAGTTAATAATAATATATAACATTAAATACTTGTATTTATGCAAATAAACAGAAAATCTGAAAAATGTAATAGAAGTCAACTTGATTTGTGTGTAGCTGTAATGAGAAGTAGGGATGTTACATCAGAACGAACAGTTAGTATAGGGCGTCTTGTAGAACATAGTAAACGTCAAGTTCGAGGTTTTGTAAGCTCCCATAAAATGTTGGAGCCAGATGTATATGTTGTTGTTTGCTTAGCCTTTAATCATTGGCATACAGGTAAGAACTCCTATCATATTATTAAATAAAAATTTGAAATAGGAAACACCTAAAACTATTCTAAAAAAATTTTATTAGTTATTTAAGTGTCATTTGACTTGAAATTTTGTCTCTATGTTAGAGTATAATTTAATATTTTCCTTTTTTCATTTTCAACTATAGATTAGTTTTGAATCGTTTTATATTTTTGTTTTTTCTAAATAAATTAGCTAGATGAGATTTAACATTTATAAGAAATATGAACATAAAAATGGATGTGTTAAAATATGATAATTAAATGAAAATTTGCATATTTTCAAGAGTTAATAAATACCTATTTATTAAATTATTAAAATCATATATTTTGTATCCTAACACAGAGTGTTTTAGACTTACTGAAAAATGAGACCACAAAAGCCACCCATTTTTAGCTAAATCTTAGATAGAAAATTATTTTGTACATATTCAGACTACATTTTACAAAATTAAAGAATATTAATGCTTATGATAAATTTTACATCACATTGAATTAATATTGTAAATTTGTTAATAATTTAAAAATTATTAATAAACTGTTCATTGTGTACTTACTTTGTAATATCTGTCGTAAATTTTATATAGCTTTTATGATGTAATATTAATATTATTTTTGCATAATAATTCAAATTAATGAGTACTTAAATTTGCATATATATTAGGCAGGTGATCAAAATTGTTTTATTTTGTATAGTTTAGTCAACTGTATTAGATAATTTTTAAATTTTTTAAAGAGGTTTTAATATGGTTTTTAATGAGAAAAAGAAGTCTTAACAACATTTATTAACGTAAAATAAGTATGTATAAAGGCACTTATATTAGAGTAAAATGTGTGAGGAGAAACAAAAGATTTCAAGGGAAAAATAGGTATGTACCTAGATTCTGCTATAAGCCCTTATCTATTTTCTATAGTAATGGATGAAATTACAAAGGAAATATAAAAAGAGGGACCATGGTGTATTTGTTTGCTGATAATATAGTGTTACAACGAGAAAATAGAAAGAAAGTTAACCAAAGGCTTGAGATATGAATATTAGTCTTAGAAGAAAAGGATTCAGGATTAGTAGAAGTAAGATGGAATATATAGAGTATGAGTTTGATGAAAGAGAACATGAATAATGACAATAAACAAGGACGTCAAAGGTGAGATGGAAAGTTTTAAGTTTTAAGGATTATTTTTACAAAATAACTGTGGTATTGATGAGGATATGAGGCATAGGATTAAGTAGAGTGAAATAACATCTAGTGTATTGTGCGATAAGAAAATAACAATTACTATAAAAATGTCTAATATTTTTTTTTGTGATTAGATCTGATTGATCCATCATCTTATCCAGAATTTGTATTAGCTATTCATAGCTCTAAACGGTTATTGGTTGAACAAGTATCCCCTCCATCATTTGTTTTAGCAGATACTATTATAAACCTCACTTTAGCAAAGGGACAAAGACACGAAGTAAGCCAATATTAGAGACTTATCAAATTATTTATATACGCTACTTTAAATTTGTTATCAGGGCAGAGAAGGAATGACTGCTTATTACTTAACTAAAGGTTGGGCTGGACTTGTTGTAGTTATTGAAAATCGGCATACTAATAAATGGATACATGTAAAATGTGATTGTCAAGAAAGTTATAATGTTATGTCTACTAGAGGTTTACTTAAAACAATTGACTCAGTACCACCTCTTCACAGGTATATTAGTTTATTTAAATATATGTTTTAACTTAATAAATGTTTATATTATGTATGAATTATCTATTAAATTTTATTTAAAGGCAAGTTGTAATTGTGTTAACTCAACTAGAAGGAAGTGGTGGATTTTCAATTGCACATAAGTTAACACATAGATTAGCTAACCAACCTGGACTTCATGATTGGGGGCCATCTGGATATTCTCATTTACCACACATTCAAAAGTCAATTGAAGGTCTCCATTCCCCTAGACTGATTACTTAATACTATAAAATTTTATGTTTCTGTGATTTTCTTTCTATTTAATTTTTAATTATCTAAGAACAAAGTATACTTTCCTATTTAGAATTAAATTGTTATTATTGATTAAAATGATAATAAATCAATTATAAAGATATTTGCAATTATTCTTTAAAACCATCATCCCTAATCAATTAAATTTTCCCAATAATTAAAACGTTAAGAATTAATTTTTTAGCTTCTATGCGAAGCTGATAAGGTATTAATTTTACTATAATGTGTTTTTTATTTTTATTTTGTTATTTTTTTTTGTGACTTTTGCCACTTTTTCTCAGCTCTCACCGAACCCATTTCTTTCAACGATACGTCAAAAGATCACAAATCATATTTAGTCGAAGACATTACCCTCAAAAATTGAAAAAAATTTCCCTCATTCCCTGTAAATGGGGGAAACCTCCAAAAAAATTACAAATTTAAAATTCGCTAATTTTCGAAATTTTTCAACTTTTTTTACTAAAAACTGCCGTAACTTTTTCAAAAATGAACATATCAATATAATTTTTTTATAGATGCTTGATGTCTTTACCTATCATTTGATATATTTTTTTTGTAAATCTGACTCTTTACCTGACCACAGAGGGGGATTTAAATGACAACTTTTTCACAAAAAATTAACTTTTGAAAATGTTCCGGAAGGTCTGACACTTTTATATATATCTTAAATTAAAGCTAATGTAAGGTACTTTATTATGGAAAAAAAAAATTTGACCTCTGGACTTGTCTTCGTGGTGAAAATGGCTACCGAATGATACTTTTGTGTGAAAATTCTCGATTTAATTTTTTACATTTTTAACTTTACTATTCTATAACTTTTTGAAAAATATATGGATCAATACAATTTTTTTATGAGAAATAATACTTTTTAATAATCCCTTTTTCATTCGACATACTTTATCTTAATCAGGATATTAATAAGGAACTAGCAGATCATGTAGCTTTTGGAATAATACACCAATTTTTTTAAATTAAACACTATCTAATGATTTGCATCGAAGCGTTTTTTTTTTTATAGTGATTTGAATCACTGTCAGATATCATTATACTTGATCCAATTATGCCACGTTACCACTGTGCCGCGAATCCCCTGTGCTGGGTTTTTTTTATAACGTGTATTTGAAAAATTGGTAAAATTAGCATAATATTTGTAATTATTATTATAAATATAAATATCAATTAAAAAAAAAAAATTCTTTAGATCCTCTTTAAATAAGTTTTTTCTTTGTGGAATATTGTTTCTATCTTGGGCTGCATAGTGAGTAAAATTACATTTTTATGATCATTCCTTATCTTTTAAATCAGTATCAACTTTCAATTTTCAGATGATAATCCTATTCTTTTTTATATAATCAAATTAGATTTATTGTTAAAACAACTTTTTTATTTAATTCAATTATCAGCGAGCTATGATTCAATAAAGTTAAGGGGACGTGAATATTACTCACGTTGATTTGTAAAAAAACGCACAAATTTTATGTCACTGTATATAGTGATATCTATTTTTTTTAAGTATTGCATCAAGACTTTCAACTTTTATGCACGTTTGCCAAAAAAGTAGTAACTACTTTATATTTTTTTTTAATTTCTGGACCTTTTCTGTTAATTCACTACCACTTGTTTTTGTTTTGGTTGTTTCACGCCATCCGTCGGGCCGATAATGGAATTGTACGACGTTAAGCGTAGTTGTCGGATTGTTAAAAATTATATATTATATATTATAAAAATAATATAATATATAATAATCTAAAAAAAAAATCAGAAAAAACAAGTGGTAGTGAATAAACGGAAAAGGTTCTAATTTCTCCGTAAAAAATACAATACTAAAATATTATATATCAATTTTATACTATATTTAATCGCTATGAAAAATATTTATTCATATATTACACTTATAAATCATAAAACTTGTAATCAGGATATAAATAAAGAAATAGCAGATCATGTAGCTTTTGGAATAATCCACCAATTTTTTAAAATTAAACTTTATACAGATTTGCATTGAAGCGTTTTTTATGATAGTGATTTTAATCATTGTCAGATTAAATCAATACTGGACCAACTATGCCACGTCCCCACCACTGTGCTGGATTTTTTTTTATAATTTAATTATTAAATTGGTAAAAAATATTTACTAAAGGTATAAGAGTGTACTGATTATTTAAATTAGTATACTTTAAAAAGGATACTATAAGTTGATAGTAAAATATCTGTTTAATAGATGTTTCACTTAAAGTACCAATTGTTTACTTTCAATTTCAATTTAATTATTTCGTATTGAAAAAATCATTGCCACTCTCCCCCTCACAAGAAATATATATTTTTAATTATTTTGATGTTTTTTTACGTATTATAATAAATCTTGGAGTAAAACAGAAGTTAATTGTTAAAAAGAGTAAATATATTATTTTAAATTTTTAACTAAAATTTAATCTTTTATATTTATGTCTAAATAAAAAAATTAATTTATTAAATTTTGAACTGCAGTGTATTTAATAAATAATAACAATAACTAGTACAATAAATGTATTTTTGTATGTTCTATAAGCTGTAATTTTTGAAACTTGTGTTCATAGTTATAAGTATAAATACATCACACGGTCCTCAAAATGATTTTTATTGGTATACTTTTTATTAAAAATTTTCCTTAGGTGGGTGCCATTCTCCCACTCTCCTCTATTTTAAGAACATAAGTTATCAACATTTTTAAATCATATCTATGATTTTTTAACATTTAATGCTTATTTTAGTTTCACCTGTATGTATGTTTGTAGTAACTTCACGTGTCACGTCTTATTCTCGCGTATCCCGTCGTCTATGGCCTTGAGACTAGACTGTCGTAACGCACTTGCCTCACACCGTCCGTCAATCACTCTCCGACAACACTATTCCTGTATAATTTTATTTTTGGTTTTCGTACCCGTACACGCGTCCGTGTCATTAATATTATATATATATAGACAAATTTTTATTGTTTATTTTTAGATATAAACATTTAAAGATTCAAATTTTTTTTGAATTAATATTCATGTATAATACATGTGGGATTACAAATACAGGTAACTAATTGGTTTTTATGACGAAATTCGCAGGTATATAGCCTTTATTATCAATGGTAGTAAGACACATTGTTGTGAATTTATAAATACACTGACTGGAAATACAGAAATTATATCCATTGATCTATTAATCTATTGATAGTCATAATTGACAATAAACACTCCGTGACTGTGACAGCGATGTTATAAAAAACTAAAAAGTAAAAAATATAGTTAAAAAAACTGAAAAACAAGCTTTTAAAACACATCGAACAAAATAAAAAAGCTTAAACATTATTTTTAACTTTTTAGTTCGATGTACTTTAAAGGCGTGTTTTTAAATTATATTTTTAGATATACGACACTACAATATTATCATATCAAAAAAATGGATATATATGTCTTTTAAAAATAAGTACGGGTTTTATATATATCCCTCAACTTTAAATAGCTATAACGCGTCAAAAATAAAAGCCTAAGTTTTTTCATTTGAATATATTTGATGATATAAAAAAAAATTGGTCATTTAAAAATCAAAAGTTGATACTTATTAATTTTTCGTGTAAAGTAGCTTAACGATTATTAATAAAATAATATTTATTAGATAAGATATTTTATGAGGCATACTTCTGGAATCTTGAATATAAATATATATGTGTGTATATTTTTATTTATTAAGTAAACTCTGAAAGTACACTCAAAATAGTTTTATAAGATAACAACAAAATTACTAACAATGAAAAGAAAAATATATATTACATAAAATAGTTATTGTGTTATATTTTTTCCTTAAATTGTTTATGAATCAATAATTATTAGTTAATTACAGGTAAGAGAAAAGTTCTATGTAATCCGCAATCTGGTTTTTCTTCAGGTCAAAAAAATGTGCGTAATCTGTGCTCCAGTTTTTCTATGGATAAAAATAGGTGTACGAAATCTACGTATGAATAATTTTTTTCTGCTAGTTCTGTAAATAGCGCAGAATGTTATTACCCGATTTATAGAAAAACTGTAACGCGCATTTTTTATCTTATAGAAAAATCGAAGTGCAGTTAACAAGTAAATTGAGCGCAGTTTACAATCGTAGGATAGTTATTATTTGAGATACAATACTTATATATATAATAAAAATAAAAAATTTTCAATATTTAAAATTAATAGTATGAAGAATATTAGAATGAATCATTTATTTCTGAATATTTTAATTATAGTATTTTTATGTTTTATTTATAGTTAAACTGTATTCATTTGACATAAATAATTGTAGACTCCTTATAAAAATCCACAATTGATCAACTGAATGATTTTTGTTAGGAGGATACATAAATGTATTATCCATATTTAATCTATCTCCGACAGTTTTGTATATTTGCCAAAGATAATTACTACTCAGATCTTCATACGAATTAGTAATCATATTATTAGTAGGATTATCTTGGAACCATATTTTAACTAATCGGGCCATGATATTAAAAAATACTAAGCAAAAGGTATTTGCACCCATTTCATCTATTTTAAAAATTAAATTTGATAGAAATCTCAAAGAACTTATAGGTGTATAGTTTCTGTCCATGAATTCATTAACGTAAATTGTAACCATCATTAAAATGGTTTGTACCGTATAAGGCGCTTCTGGATTTTGATCTTTAAAAACAATCAACAACCCATAATAAGAAATTAAAAATAAATACTTTATAGATCTAGACTTTACTAAAGCATGATAATTTTCTTTGTTTAATAAATCATATTTCGGTTGAAAAATTGTGTCTTCGTCATTTTGTCGGATAATAAAGATATCATTTTCGATATATGGCCAATACTCATCTAAGCAATTAATTTCTTGTGACGTATACACTATTACTGTAAAAACAACGCACCAGAAAATTCTCATTTTAAATTTTATTCTTGTACTTATTTGAACAATTTAAAAATTCTTAACTTATTATAATAATGAAATTAATTTAAATGTAATCGATTTTATAGTTTTATAGAACATTTTCAACGATTTACAAAAAGATTCACTTATAAACGAATTAATCGAAAAATAAAAATTAATGTGTTTTTT